ATTAGGGTTGAGACACCAAAAAACCCTCCCCAAACCAACCAACAAACAATTTGGTTGTATCATACATAAATTTGCATTTAATCCTGAAAGCGAGAGGGTATTTCTTCGCAGAATTTGTCTTCATGATATGATCGGGTTGGAGCACCTACATGTAGGCCAGTTACAGGTCCACTGCACATAAAACAGTGGGATTTGCCAGCAACATTAGACGGTTTATGCCGATTATGTTTTAGGAAATAATGAAAACAAAAAAATTCTGGAAAAACGGCATTCCTGCATGACTTTTCAATAGTGGTGTGCATCCACAGGCACAAGACTGACATAACAGCCAGTACCCGGAACCACAGAAGTTAGCTTTATATCCCGATATTAAAAAAAAAAAAGAAAAAGAAAAACGACAAAGACCAAACTGCAAATTCTGTCTACTATCAAAAACCTTTGACATCAAAAGTGAACTTCACTGTCTTTAACATTCCATTTCCAAAAGTTTCTGTCTAGAAAACCTGATAACTGTCTTTTTCTTTGTCTGAAAAGTGACTGAGCAATTTTTTCCATTTCTATGATTGGTTACCATTTTTGGACATTATCAACCAGGTACTTCTGGTACCCAATCTCGATGCACAACTCTACTGTTCCAGATGTTTCTTCTTGCAGCTGTGGTAAGCATGACAAAATGTCCTAACTACCAAAATTGAGAATTCTCCATTCACACCGATACCACCATGGGCCAGATGTCAACCAAAGTAAAAACACTGGTAGCCTTGTCAAAACATTCAGGGTGAGTCAAGCAGTCCGGTCAAAATACGGTACATGTACCAAAGGGCAACAGTTAGTTGTGTGTAACATGGGTAAGACGGAGTTAAGGCCTTAAAAAAAAATTTTTCAAAAGTTTTGTAAATTGATAACCGATAAAACTCAGACAGATTAAAGTTCACTTTAGCAATTTTTTTTTGGGGGGGGGAGGAAGGCATCCTGAATCAACAGCAGGCAGGCGACAAAAACGTCAGTGGATAAACTTATGATATGGAAACTGATATGCTACATGCTATGACAAATTCCCTAAATCTGACCTACAAGTTCACCAATCTTTGTTCTTCTCAAGGTTATCCACAATGTTGCTTTAACAAACACAACAGGGTCCACACATATTGTATAGCAGTCATTCCACAATTTTCAGTCACAGATACACACAACCGCCCATTCCAAGCTCCAGCCCATTCCAATGTGTGGCAGCCGACCCCACAAAATGTTTCAGTGTAAGGGTTTTAGGCCAATACTTACTGTATCAGCAAATAATACAGTCAAAAATATAAAACACAGATATTCCTGCATTTTGTCAAATGAATCTTTATCTCCTTTCATGTTTCACCTTTTGGCTAGTCCTCACTGGAAGCAGAATTGGGAAATGAAAATACAGTTTTCCTTGCGTAAACGCTTAAAAATCGCATGCATCAGTTAGTACGGTTGCACTGGTCCCCTTGTGGAAATGGCACTTTAATAAATTGCCCACACCTGGAACCATTCTAATGCACAAGCACTCGGAGGTGCATGCAAAACGTCGTATCCGAAGTGGGCAATGAAATGTCAGGCAAACATTTTTTTGTAAAACGACTGAAACTATGCTGTATCAAGATATTTATCGAAGGTTTCTTTAACTTGAGAAACAAATGCCAGGGACTACCTGGGGGGGAGGGGGGGTGTACACAGTAGACTGCCAGCACAAATTGACCCAGGGTCTTTTGTGCAGTCCTCTTCACTGCATTTGGCTTACTGCACAATGATGCACATGAAACAGTGAAGCACAGTTGTTGGGCAGCACAAAAGTGCAATCTGGTATTCCTGTGAGGGACAGTTGGTGCAGTGCACAACACAACACAGCTGTGCTTCTTTGGAGGTGTTTACCAAATGATCCAAAGAGTGACTTCAGCATAGGAGGGTTAAGACGAGTTCAGGGTCGCTTACCTTCTGAATGAACTTCTCCACACTCTGCACAACATGCTTGTAGAACTTGATGGCTTTGATGGCCATCTTGGTGACCTGGGTCATCTTGGCCCTGGAGATGGGCGGTTTGCTCTCGTACAGGCTGGAGAGCTGTCGATAGAGCAGAGCGTATTGGTTATATCTACATGTAGTTCCTCATCTTGACACAAGTGCACATCTCTGTGCATAACCATGATAAATTATTCAGAAAATCTCGAATCGACAGGAAAGACCGTCGATTTTTCACAAATGGATAGGGTTTGAGTTGCTTGAACTTCTCATCGAAAGTTCAGCAAAAAAATGTAAAGTTTTCTGCAAGTTTTGATCTGCTAAAAACAGGCGTTTTTTCCAAGTGGTGTTTCAGAGGCTTTCTGGTACATCTACAACAAACTAGGTATTATTTTTGGAAAATCTGGGTCAGAAACACCTTAGAAAGATATATAGATTGAGGTTTAGATAGTGAGAGTGAGCCCATTTGACTGCGGAGCACTGAAGTACACCGTGATTTTCCGCGTGGCCACCACCGGGCGTGCGGGCACGGCGGCCAGTGAACATGGCGTCAGCGCACGGTAGCCTCACACGTGCTGCCGTACACGGGCAGATACAGACTTATGTGATTTTGTCTACGGTGTCATGAGTTCATGGTTATCACTAAGCGCTGTTTTTTAACTGTGTTTCAAGAGAACTAACAGGTAGGCCTATTGTTGTATTTACTAAGGCAGAAGGACCTAACTTGCATAATACTGGTACTCAGATCTTCCACCTCTTAGGGAGTACAGTACTCTCCCTCTCGTGAAGAGAAGTACAATACTAAACAGTACTGAGGGCAAAAGAGTACTGTACTGTACTCTAAGCAAGGAAGAGGGTATTGTACTCATGGCTTGAAGAAAGTAATCTAAACCCCTGACCGTGAAAAGTTTCTGAATGCCCTTAGAAATAGAGGGTACTACATTTCACACAATTCCCTTTTTAAGTCTCTGCTTCTTGCATTTTGGGGGCCGAGGACTGGAGGGCTCATTGAAACCCCTCCCCCCCCAAAAAAAAATTGAGTAAAAAAATTACATGCACTTAAACCAAACCAAGCGTTCAACTATATGATTTTTTTCAAAGTTAAAGAACATACCTATCTTTCGCAGTTACACAAAAAGAACAAAAGTTGCATTTTGCAGCCTGCATGGCCATCAATTACATGTAATTCTGCTCACAAATGCACCCACTAAAACTTGGTGATCTCTTGTATGTCCTGCACCATCTACTGCTCTACCAGCTAATTCATGAACTAGCACCTTAGGCCCATGAACAGTCTTTAGTCGTAACAAAATGGTTTTGCCTCATATAAGGGTAAGTCTAGAAACTAAGGCCGTTTTCCAATACTCAACTTTGTCTCCGTCTCAGGCTTCAACTTTTTTTTTTTTACTTCCTGACTTTGAGGTTATAAGTGCAATAGTAAGTCTGATAGTGTCACAAAACATCAAGCAAGATGCCAAAGAGCCAAACATTACAGTAGCTCGATTTAAGTTAAACACTTCAGGCCCACAATCGCGGATTGGTTTCGGGGACGAAGCCTGAGACGGAGACGAAGTTGAGTATAAGAAAACGGCCTAGGGGTCCAAAAGTGTGACATTTTTATGTCCCTGTTACATCTAGCCTTTACATGTATTTTACATGGAAATATAACCAGAATTGATTTCAAACTATTACTATTTGTTCGGCAAGTACGGTAAAGGTCAGAATTTTAGCCAACATGCTATGAACACGATCAGTGAACCTGACACGCTGTTCAATGTACGCTTTGCGGTTTCTACTGTGCATTGCTGGTCCAATGCACAATAAGCCTGACCCCAGACCTCCTTATCTTGGCAGGGCCTGCGACCGCAGACTGCGAAGGTGACCGACAACGTGTAGTGAACCAATGCACACGCAAAGCCGTTGCTCCAGCTTCGTGTATGCATGTACATTGTGTACACTGTACATGTGCATACAAGTACAGTACATTGTATGTACATGTACACTGTATGGCAGTGCACTGAATAAGTAAAATCATATACATGTAGCCCCTGGCTGGCAAGATGACCGTCTTAAAGTATCGAAATATATATGATACAGCCATCTTCTTTCAGTTTTGATCTCGAAAAGTGTTCAGTTGGATTACATCTAGAAAACGTCAGATTTCATTGAAACTGGCCAGTAGTCTATCGTGTGTGTTTAGATACTACAAAATTTTTTCCCAAATGTAAGCTTTGAATTTTAAACTCATGGGGTCGACTGGAGTGACGGCTACACTTTTCTTGCTGGTAAATGCAAGATCGGTTTCAAGCAATTCCCAATTGTGCGAGAAACTTTTTCACAAATAAGCAGTAACCACGAAAGAAATCCGTTCCTCAGCAAAAACTTTTATAACAAGGAGATTTTACATGAAGTACAGTGTTGTATTTCTTAATTTAAGGAAATTGAGTTCATGCTTCAGAATTCCTGTAAATAAAAAACCACCCAATGAATTTACGGAAATTTTACTTGACTTTTTCATCTGCTGCCACATGTGTTGCGACCATGCCAAGACCAAGCAATCACGAAACTACAACCACCCCAGCGCTTTCATCCCAACCACAAATCGTAAATCGAAACAACTATATTGCATATTCATTTCGATACAGCGCCAACAAATGCAAAGCTACAGCCCTTCACGTCACAAGACTTGCATATTTATGAAGTTCACGTGGGTGCTACTTTGTCCGTTGTGTGCAGCTGGTGCATGCACGTCGCATTTGCAGACCCGACTTCCTTCCATTGCCATTTAGTTTGGTCGTAATTTTGTCACAATCAGAGCAATTTCTTTTGGTAGATTTTCCAGCTCCAGGATTGCAAACTGATGGGAAAAATCCCCAACTCACATCAAATTTATATTCATGCGATTTTGAACACACTGAGAGCGAGTACGGCAACAACTGTCTGTGTATGCTAGGATCACTGCCATGGGGAGGGGGGACTGTCTTGACTAAAATTTGGCTAGTGGACCAGCAAGGTCAAACCCTCTTTATATTTTGTGGATTTCTTACAAAATAGTTTTCTCGAATATAGGAAATGCTTTGTCATAAAACCGGCTAGTTATAGTTTCACGCTCAAATATTTTTTGTGTGTCTGATTCAGATGTTTTTGGAGCAATTCAGACATTAACCAAAAGTATCTTCTTCAGTAAATCAAGTTCTCTTCCCTGTGTTGTCTTTTGTCTACATTGAGACAGTTGTTCCATCTTTTCTGTGAAACCATGTATAATTGTTTAACTATCTGCTTTCTTACACCAACGAATCATTTCACCCCAAAATCTGATTCCAAAACCCTGTAGCATTACGACACCATGTAAACCGTGTTGACTCAAAGCTACACGAAGTGTGAGGGAGTAGTGACTTTTGAGTTCTTAAAGTACTTCTCTGAATGATAAAAACTTTTCACAATGCCAGTCACTTAAATCTTAAAAGCTCACAAATTCCACAACTTTGGCCTACTTTTTCATAATCAACAGAGGGCGCTGTGTCCCTTTTCCACTTTATCGTGTTCTTTATCAGCTAGCATTAATTATTTACATGATTTGTCAATAAACATTTACATTATTTGTCAAAATACACTGCACATGCTAATGTAGGTCCAATACTTATACAAAAAATAAAACACAGAACATGCTGAAGCTCTCGTTTGAATTTGCCATGAAAATTGTCCTGAATGGACCAGTGCCGCCGCGCCGGCGCGTATCTTCAGCTTAGCAAAAACCGGAGTTCGCTTTACACTGATTCTCCAAATGTTTCGTCCGAAACTATTGACCTTACCTCATTATTAAACAGCCGCACTGCATCCATGGTTATAAGTGAAAAATTCCAAGTCACTTGTGAGAAAATATTTCCATCGTTGCGGAGAAAATTAGACGTCAAAAAAATTGTTCACCATCGAGAACAAGCTCATTTCCACGCGATCGCGCAGCAATTCATGGCGTGCACGTGACATCCCATAATTTTTCCAAGCACTCCGCTGAGGCGTTTGTTGATTGGACGAACTTCTCCAGATTACTATTTCTAAGCCAATAGTATTAGACGTGCCTCCGAAAAAACTTCGTCAGCGTTTGTCTAGTACCCAAACGCTTTAAGGATATTTATTGAACTTTCAAGCTACGGTAACCTACCTTTTCAACGAGGGAGGGTTAACTGGGCGGGGTTAGAATGTGGGAGGGGGACTTTAAAGAGTGCAATTCGTCTTAATGGCAATTATGCGCAGATTTTTTTAATAAGTCTGGGCATTTTAAAAAATTAAGGGAAAACCCCAAAACAACTCAATAAAAGGTCAAATAGATATGAACGGGCTGCGTAGCACCGTGATCAGAATATTGACAAGAATCTCTGAAATAAAAGGTAACAAGTGACGTAACATATGAATTAAAAGTCTTGATAATTTTCAAGTTTTAGGAAAAACTTATATCATTTTATTTAGCTTTCACAGAGCTAGTGTTTATTAACAGGAACACCAAAGTTAATGCACATCTCCATGATATGTCAATGCAATGAAATACAAAAGTCAGGAAGGTGATTTCTATTGTAAAGTTTTATGACTGATTCTAATTAATGAACACCTCATCCAAACAAATCTAAAGCAAATCTTGACTTTCTTGCTCATGAACCAAACAATCCCCTTTTTTAAACAGGAAACAAATTATAGCAACTTCTTAAATTTTGGCGGCTAAAAAATAAAGAAACAAACAAATTAAAGAAAATACAAGAACAAAACATACCTAAATGGAACAAAATAGACGCACAATTACACATTTCCAATGAAAACACAATTTTGTTAAGTTTTCATTTCATTATTCTGTGAGATTTATTGCCATCTTCACAACAATAACATTTTCATTAATACCCCAATTATTCACTAGCCCTTCAAGCCCAGTTTATACACTGTTTAGAAATGCACATTTTTTAACAAAATTCTTCAATCCAAGACACAAAATTGTTCTAAAAGAACACAGCAAATTTCTTTATTTGTTGATTTGCTACAAAAAAATACAGCTCTATGAGTTTCTCTAAAATAATCCACTGTGACAAATCTTCACATTTATAGAGAATGCGAACGAGTACCTTACAGTTTGGTTGTCTAACTCTTAA